GCCGGCCCCACCCACGCCGAGCCGGGGCCCAGGCCCCACAGCCCCCAGGCCCACCCCTCGGCCCTGTGGGGCCCCTGGGTCCATGCGGCCCCTCCCCCAGACTACGGCCCTGTCCAGTGCCCAGTGGCCCCACTGCATAAGAGACTCCCCCAAACTGTCCACTGGTGAGGACGACGTGGCAGCATCAGCGACCGCGGTGAGAGGCCTGAGAGCCAATCCACACCAGCCGCACCGCAGAGGCCAAGGGTGACCAGCCCGGCCTGGCTGCGCCCCCACGGGAGCCCCGGGAGAGACCACCGGCGGTGGATGGACACGCACTTGCCAGACACCTGCTGAGGGCAGGCCCCGGCCAGGATGACCCCCGCGGGCAGCGGGCGGGAGCACGGAGCAGAGAACAGGGGCGACAGGCCAGGCGGTTCGGGCACGGCGACCCCTCAGAGGCACCTGCTGACCAGTCAGGCGCCGGCCGCCCAGCAGCGTCACGAGGGAGCCCGGCAGAGGGAAGCAGAGGCCGCGCTGCCCGGGTGCCCGGGTGCCAGGTGGCACCATGGGTGGGGCGCAGCACCCTGGGCCCCTGCTGCCTGGGAGCGGACAGGTCCTGCACCTTGTGACCCACGCTGCACCCCACAAGTCCATCCCAGGGCCTACGGCCAATGCTCCCTGGCAGCCTCGGGGCTACGGGACCCCACACTCAGGAGCGTAACAGACCCAATGCAGAACGCAGCAGATGGGCATCAGGGGCCATCGGGCCCCCAGCTCTGGCTGCGAGGACCCCCAGGGCCGTGAAGCCTTGGGAACCCGCGGTGGCCAACGCCAAGTGACCGCTGGCCCTCCAAACCCCCCGCCCCTTCCCTGAACACCCATGGCTCCGGCACAGCAGGGACCGGGCGGAGAACTCACCCCAGCAGACGCCCCAGCGGGCCGAGCTGAGCCGACAGAGCGAGGCGGGCGGCAGGACCCTGGCGGCCGGGTAGTCCAGGCAGGCCCCACTGCTGCTGCACCAGAGACACTGCGGGCGGCGGGGAACCTCAGAGGGGCCCTGCGGACACCAGCCCCGGTCGCGCCCCCAAGGCCCAGCGCCCGCCCACACAGCGCAGCTGGACATCAGGGAACCCCCTGACCAGCAGGCACTGGCCAGCCATCCTGACCTGGGGACAAACTCAGCCCACTGGCCGCCCACCCCCAGCAGTCGGCCAGCACCCGTCCCCGCACCCCAGAAGCGAGGACACGGGCTGTGAAAACACGGTCAGGAGGCAGAGGGACGAGGCCGAGGTGACCACCACAGTCCAGGGACCGCGAGCAGCCCCCGGCGCAGTTGCAAGCCTGCCCGGGTCCCTGGGCCATGCCACGGCCCCGGCCGGGACCAGCCCCCGCCCGCGAGGGGCTGTCAGAGGGCTGTGGGAGAGCCCGCCCCGGGCACCGCTCACCGACACGTTCCTCAGGCACTGCTCGCAGCTGGTGTTCGAGCTCTGGGCACAACCTGCGGGGCGGGCGGGCGGCCGTGAGGGGCAGCCTGGGCCGGCTCCAGGGGACACCTCGGGCTCCAGGGCAGGTGGCCCCACCACTCCCCAAGGCAGAAACAGCAGCAGGCAGAGCCTCGGGGCCCCCACCCCGGCCCTCCAGCCCCAAATGCTCCCAAACGCCTTCTGAGCAAAGACCCCCCAACAAAGTGGGCGCGGCAGTCCTGAGGGGGCAGGGGGAGGCGTGGGGGAAGGTGGGGGTGGGCGGGGGAGGAGGCAGGCCCACTCCCAGCCCTGGGGTCCCCTGTCTCCTGCCCCGCCAGCCTCAGACTCGGGCCCCCCTCCACAGCTGGGCCCGCACCCGCCACGGCCCTGCCCTGCGGCGCCCTGAGGAGCCAGGGTCCAGCCCACACATCCCTGCCGCGGCCAGCGGCGCAGGACTCTGCACGGGAAGGGGAAGTGACCACAGGACTCTGGCACCCACACACCACCCTCCCACAGAGAGGGCAAACAGGGTCCACTCTGGGCCTCGGGACTCTGAGGACAGCTTCCCGGGAAGTGGGGGAGGCCTGGGCAGACTGGCCAACTCGCACCGGCCAGTCGGGCGGCACTCCCCCGGCAGGGGTCTAAAAGTCAGGGGACATGCAGATGAGAGGGGCAGCGGCCTGGGCAGCGCGGACTGCGTCCAGCCTGCCTGGGAGGCCCTGAGGCACTTCCCTGCCGCCTGACCCCAAGGCAGGAGCCCTGGGCAATGGCCACGCCCTGCCCGAAGGAGGGGATGGGGGGGTGAACCTGGGGCTTCCCTGGGCGGCCAGACCCGACCAACTGGCAGCCCTGGTCAGTCCAGAGAGCGTGCAGGCCCGGCCCGCAGCACCCCCACTGCTGCGCACAGCCTGGTGGGTGCAAAGCCCCCCCCAGCCCAGGGCGCCGCCCAGGTCCGGGTTGGGGCAGGCGCCATGGGGATGGCGACGCCCCAGGGCCCCAGGGCAGCCCCCTCGCCTACTGGCCTGACCCCAGGCCCAGGACCTGCTGGCTCCCTGGGCATCCGGTCGTCCGTCCCCCGCCCCTGCACCCCGCCCC